AGTAAAGTAATCGAGATCTTAATCTACTCTAACTTTAACCGATACTATTCTTTTTAGAAAGAAGATAAAATCCTTATAAAGTAGAGAAAGATAGAGAGAATACTAATTATATACTTCGCTTAAGAATTCGGCCTATAGTCTATATTACTTATAAGAACTATATTACTAGAGAATATATTAGTAAGAACTTATACTCGACGATCGATATTATCTTAGCTAGCTTAGAGCTAGTAGGTTAGCTAATATAGTATTACGCTTATAAGTATAACTATAGTTCTAACTATAGAGTAATTAAGATCGAATTTACTATACGAGTACTATAACTATAGTCTAGACCGAGTCGCCTACTACTAGAAAAGGTAAACTAGTTATAAATCGGCCTAGAAGTAGTATAATAGCTATAGTCGGTCCGCCTACTTATAGTAGCTACGATAGAGATACTAGATAATACTATAGAGCGCTTTCTCTAGATCGTAAAAGATATTATCTATTAATACGTACTATAGGCGAAGCTATCTCTATATACGAAAAGATAGTAGTTATTCGACTTTATACTATTATAGAAGACGCTCTTAGTATCTCGTAACTATATAATAACTCTATAGCGATAAGAGGAAAATATATTAGAGATAAGATAAGCTTATTAGAAGTTCTATAAGAAGTACTTCTAGTATATAGAGAAGTAGAAGAGAGAATATTAGAAAGAGTTCTTAGTAGAACTCGAATAATATCTAGAAAGTAAATAGCTATACTTATACTATATCCTAGGCGAATATAGTTCTAATATTAGTAAAAGATAATACTATAGTAGAGATAGACGAAGCGAAAGCCGATATACTAATAGTAATATTCTTTCCTATTCTACTAGAACTAAAGTCGAGTAGATAGGCGAGTTAGACGCGAATAATAGTATAAAAGCCGAGTATACTTTATAAACTTCTATATATTATATCCGAAGAGATATACTAGGCTATCTTCTAGTAGAACTCGAAAAAAGTACTTAGAGAAGACGAGATTATATTCGATATCTAGAGGCGCCTTCTATAGTATATCGGCTTATAGATATAATAGATATACTAAATATCGCTAGATCTAGGCTACGTCCTCTATTCGTAGCGGACGACTAGGATTATCGCGCTAAAGAAACCGAGTAAGTCCGACTATATAGAATCTAAAGTATATCGACTAATCTTATTATTACTAACGATTAGTAAAGGCCTCGAAGCTATTATTATAGCGAGGCTATTATACTTTATAGAGAGGTTTATTTTACTACCTACTAATTATTTCGGTATATAGAAGTAGTACTCCTATAAGTAGGCGTTAGACGTTTTAATCGAGAAGATTTATAAAGTATAGAAAGAGAAGCGTATACTCTCTCTTATAATATTCGATATATAAGGAGCCTTTAATAGAGTATACCTTATAGTCTTAGTATAGTAGTTATAAGAGCGAAGTATTCTAGATTAGATAGTATAATAGATTCGTAGTTTCTATAAAGATCGGACTAGGAGCGTCGTAATAGGTAACTATACGTCCGAATATATATCTATTAGCTATACTAGTATACTATAAAAGTCTCTGCTCTCTTCTATTCTATATATATTCTATAACGTAGACTTAGTAGAAAGTAAAATCGATAAGTATAGTAGGTCGCTCGAGTTTGTCGACGATTTTATAGCGTAGTAGATAGGCGCTAGCTATAAGGAAACTACCGAAAAACTATAGGTAGAAGTATTATAATAGGCAGAGTAGTAGTTAGAGAATAGTAGAGCGACGTTCGAAGTAAGTAAAACTAGGTTTATCTACTTTAAATAAATAGTATCGGACGTAGTAGCGAATACTATTCTATACTTCTTCGATAGCGAGATTCGATCTTAGAATACTATTAAGATCCTAGGAGTTATATTAGATATATAGCTAAATATAATAGTATACTTTAATAGAATTATTATAATAGTAACGAAAAAATATCTAGCTATTAGGTAGCTATAGAGTATTCGGCCGAAGTAGGTACGCTAGCTATATCGAGTAGTAATCGATACTATAACTAATTATATAGTATCTATATAGTACGCTCTAGGAAAGCTTAGAGTCTAATAGTATATTACTTAGCTCTAAAAGATCTAGTAGATAGATATATAAGCGATTATTAGTACTTTCTATATAGTCTCTTCTAGTATTCTCTAAAATAAAGTAGTACTAGAAGTAATTAAAATACGACTAGTAAGGAAGATAGCTAAATACGTA